AGAAATCACTGGTGAAGGAAAGAGCAGAGTTTCATGAGAGGAAAAACCTGTAGCATCTGTAGGGAGAGGACTTGGTTTCTGTTTGAAAGCCCTCCCTACATGAGAAAAGCAGTATAATTTGTATGCAGAGTGCAGAGGCCTGAAACAATCAACCTCTCAAAGATGTGATACACAGAGCTGCCTCCTGGAGAGGAAAAAGGGTTTGTTTTCATCAGCCTCATTACCTTCCCAGGGGTGTTTTTGTACCATGTAGCCATGCATCAAGTCTTTTAAGATAAAATGGACAAGGGGAGGGGAAGGATGYAGTGATGGGTTCCTCATAGAAGTATTTTATCACGTAGGAGGGTCTGTTGCTCTCTCAGCTGTGAAGCCTAAAGAATCAAAATAAGGTTTTCTAACAGAGCAAGCTGAAACATCCCCAGCGTTCTTTGGGTTGTTTTGGTCATGTGGTGGTTTTTTAAGGCTCAGTTTCTTTATGGTTCGGCTTCATTTGGTTGGTTGGTTTTGATTAGTTGATTCCCCGCCCCCCTCCCCCCATTCTGGGCAGTCAAAAAATATAAACTAGCAGCTGATAGAAAAAAAAACATGAAAGCATTCAAAACGCAGGGTGGTTTTAACGGCAGTCAAAGTGAGAGGCTCATCATCCATCGTGGTGTCGTCCAGATTCATTTTCCTTGCCTGCGGATTAAGGAAAGGAAAAGGACTCTGCGGGAGCGGGCGGTGGGAGGACGGGAAGCAGTGGCTGGGAAGGGAACCACAGGGAGATAGAGGGGAAGGGAGGGAGGAGAAGGGGGAGGAAGGGAGGGAAGCCGGTTCCCGGGCAGGATTGGCTGGAAATTGCTGCAGCCCGGGCGGGTGGTGCTGTGGCCCCGCTCCCCACCGCTTTACGGTCTGGGGGGGAACGCTCCTCACCCTCCCCTGCACTCAGCTGTGCCACAGCAGTGATAAGGACGCCAGAAGATGCAAAGAGAWACACACACAAGGGTTTAGCTACGGTTCACGGCAATCTGATTTTCTGGTGATATTAGATACAAAGCATTTATCGTGACCRGCAAACAAACGCAGTTTTCTGCTGYAYTTCTACAGCTGCAGAAGCTGCAATTGGCTTCCATTTTCTTTCTAACTTCCTGAATATCAGCATCAATGCCTTCAAAACTGTTAATAGAGACGTGAATTTCTCTGCATGTTTACCGAAGCCTAAACTGATGTTGTATAAGGTATTTGGGAGAAATAAACAGTAGCCTATTCTTTAAAAAGTACATTTGGTGTCTAAGCTGGTCTGGTTTTAAGGGTTTAAGAAAGGCAAATTACTAATGTTATTATTCAAGTTACTTCTATAGAGTAACACCAGATTTGTAAGATGATCCTACTTTGTTWTATTTTGGTGTGGTATGTAAGTTTGCAGAAAGCAACTAAATAAACTAAAAGTTTGAGTGAAGGAATTTGAAGGTAATTTAATAAAACACCTATAAAAGCTTAACCTTTCTGTAGGCTGTGTGATRCAAATGAACGTATTAGTTTAACAAGGAAGAGCCTAGAGCATTGTGGAGATAGCATTGGTATCAGGTAGGTAATTYCATTCACTTTTGTTGGCCTAGGTAAAGATTCTAGATTGCTGACATTATTGATAAATTTTCTAGCCTAAAGCAAATTCCCATGAAATAACAGCAGCAACAAATGAAAATCACATCTTCCTCTAAGACTTTGGACGACTGCTTACTACCAAGGGAGTTGGGAGAGTATTTCTATCCTGTCCTTGATCAGGTCATTAGAGAAAAATCAAGCATAATTTTTTAATAAAACAAACACCCTCAAAAGCAAACCAGCAAAAAACAACCCAAAATATCTTGAATAAGATTTTTTGAAAGAAATGAATATTCAAGGACTTTTTTTGGTACTCTGCTGTTACTAAGACAAAGCCTAGTGGTGGTGAACGTTCTTTTATTATGTCACTTTTTAAAACTTGTTTCTCAGCATGCTTCAGAATGTTTCTGCAATGGAGAATAGTTTGGTTTTGTGTTTTATTTTTTTTTTTAATATTGCCTTGCATATTATCCCTTACGGCTTTATGGAAAAACTAAAAGCTATTAAGTAACTACAGAGTAAATAACATTTACTCGGGAGCAAGTAATCTGAGAGATTGCACTATCTATGGTATGGTTTGTACTTTAAAGCACAAAATAAAGCATATTTTGTGTAGACTTAAAGTTCCCAAGTACGCTAGGGTCATGTGATACTAAATGTTTATTTCACSACCGAAAGCATCTGTGATGCACTGTTTTTAAATTTAAAGCCTTCCTCCTTTTTGAGAATTTAGGTTGGCTGAATAGCTGAAACTCGATTTGGGATGAAAAATTCCACATCTGCAACGAAATAAAATATTGTGCTTTTCAAAAGAAACCACTTTTAACTCTCATTTGTCAGGTGTTCAAACAGGTCATACAATATGTTTCTCTCTTCTCTTTCAATGTTTAAAAACCTTTTATTTAACTGGTATGCAGAGAGAGAATGTGTTCCTTTATAACAAGCATAGTTACCTGAGGCATATTGCTTTTCTACATTATTGTGAATGACTGGTCTGGAGAAACACAGGTATGCATTAATTGTAGGAAAAGTATTCCAGGCATAGTTTAGATGAAGAAAAAGAGGATTTAGTTTACAGAACTCATCAATTCTCCTGTACTAAAAAAAATATACTTAAACCCATACTGAAATTGTTGTGATGGTATAGAGAATGTAATGATATTTATACATTTCTATATAAGGAAACTGAGCTCATTAYCTGAGCTGTCTCAAAGAGGAAACATGGCTAGAAAGGCAGAGAATGAAATGGTGAACTCAATGAATTATAATACTGAATTCAAGAAGCCTCTAGTGAGGAGCGCAATAGAAAAACAAAACACTTTACACTAGATCTCRATCTATGTATATCTTATTTGAAAACTGTTAGAATGCTTGTGTTTTCAAGTGATTTTTCATACAGCAACAGGGGAAGAAAAAGAAAAAAAAACAACAAAACCAAAACAACAAATTTCTAAGAGAAGAAGAATATATATATGCTGAAGTGGCTGAAAAGGAAGYTCAAACATTACTCTTGAAAATAAATGGTCCCTCCTTGCACCATGTTTTCAAGGGCCAAAATTAAACCCAGGAGGCCTCTGTTTCAGGATTTTCAAATGGCCCAATCAGAACTTTGTACAAATCAATTCCATTCTTCAGCCCTACGTAATCTCTTCCTTCTCTACTAAATATACACCAACTGAAGGGGTTTTTTTGCCAAATATGCAAAATACAGTAAAACCAGTATTGTTAAACAAACAAAAAAAATCCTGAAGTGTTTTAAACCTATTTTTAGCCTCAAATTTCAGAATAGTTACTAATAAAGTCCTGCAGTTACTGCTGTTTCAAAGTCCAGCTCTAAACGGTAGATGATTAATACCTAATGCAATTTCTTTCAGCAGAACAGCAATGATTAAAAAAAGGGGGGGGGGGGAAAGGGTTTCCGCCCAATTTGAAAAAAAAAAAAAAAAAAAAAAAAAAAACCAAAAAAACCCACAAACCAACGAACTACCCAACCAAAACAACTCAACCTGAAAATTGTGTAAGAATCATATACCACTTGGAAACGAGATGAGAACAGAGGAACTGTTTCTATGCAAGACTTCACCCGGGCACTCCCACGTTATCTCCTTCTTGAAAAACATTTTGCTTTAACACAACGCCCCAATGACTCACTCCTCTGCCTCCAGAGGCAGAACACTGAAGAGAATAAAAAAATTCAAAACAACCGAGCAGAGGTTCCCTTGCCTTAGTTCTCAAGGGACGATTTTAAAGAACAAAGAAAACGCTCTCCCTTGTCCTCAGGCCACCTCATTCGGAGGGTCCCTGCGTTGCATTCCTGTCTTCCCTTCGGGCAGATTTTTCTTTCGAGTAAATCATTACTGAATAAAGACAAATTAAAGCCTCCTTTATCTACATTTGATCTAACAAAGGAGGGAACTCAATGTTCTCTATAGCGAGGGAAAAGAGCAAAAAACCCGAAAAATTAACCTGTTCGGAGGAAAGAAAGGAAAGGAGCTGTCGCTGTCTCCCAGCCGCGCTGCCACCTCAAGGCACTAATGGCGCAGAAGCTCCTCCCTGTAAATACCGATCTCTCGCTCGGGTATTATCTTGATTTAAAAGWCCCTGACACCCTAAGAAGAAGGGCTGTGGTGGCGGGAGGCTTGAAAGTCCACGGCATTCACACCACTAAGGCCGTGACCCTCTTCTCGGGGTGCAAGGGGCTCCCACAATCAAGCAGGCCCAGACAGTCATAGCGACCAAGGGCCCCAAAAAAAGGGGCTAAGGCTACTTAATCCAAAAGAGTGGTACTGAAGAGCTTGGCGAAGCTAAAGTCAGCAGTACCCAGGAGACCATACTGCGTAACTAAAGGAAACTTCTATAGAAAAATGCCAAAAKAATTTTTAATACAACCCATGCTGTTAGRATGAAGGAGAAAGAATTAAAACATCAATTCAAGTCCTGACTAGCACAACCTAACTGCCTTCCCCTTGCATATGTAACTTTGTGTAGTGCTTCTTCATGAATTGACACTTGAGCCTGATTTACAACTGATTTACAAWTGTCATCACCATCACTCATCATTCAAAAGACCTGAAAGATACCCTTTTGGAAACTGGACAGCATACAAGGGAAGTGCTCACAGTTTCCTCCCTATTGCGAGAAGAGAAAAAAAAAAGAGAATACAGAAAGCAGAAAATCCCAGGAACCACTACGCACAAAGCATTCAAAATCCCTCTTCCATCCCCAACACCGGGAYAGCTGTGGCTGCCAGGAAGATGGACCCCAATCCCTCCGCTTTTTGAAAGCCGCGCGCTCCCATCGGATTGGGCGGTGGCGGCCCCGAGCCCGCCCCCGCCCTTCCTCCCCCGGGGTGAACGGCGCTTCACCCCCACGAAATCCGCGGGGAGAGAGGCAGTGAGCACACCCTTTGAGTTCACATCTCTTCTTGAATCATACAGCAGTGACTGATTTTATCAGTCTCAACCATTAACTTTTATTTTTTCAAAAAGGTAAACTGACACACGCTTACATAAGTACGTTGACTTCTAAAGGCAGGAAGTTACAGACTACCAACAGAACCTAAAGAAACATAATCCATGTATCAGAAAACCTCCCCCCAAAATTTTGTTCACAGGTRTCATAAAAATAGTGTTTCTGCTCTTTCTAGAAAGACGTGGGTGGCTCTGAAAAGAGCCTTTTGGTTGTTAGTCAGGAAGTTTACTTGGCTTTAGCCTTRTGGCTGTCGGTCTTCTTGGGCAGCAGCACGGCCTGGATGTTGGGCAGCACGCCGCCCTGCGCGATCGTCACCTTGCCCAGCAGCTTGTTGAGCTCCTCGTCGTTGCGGATGGCCAGCTGCAGGTGGCGGGGGATGATGCGCGTCTTCTTGTTGTCGCGGGCCGCGTTGCCCGCCAGCTCCAGGATCTCGGCCGTCAGGTACTCCAGCACGGCCGCCAGGTACACCGGCGCGCCGGCGCCCACGCGCTCCGCGTAGTTGCCCTTGCGCAGCAGGCGGTGCACGCGGCCCACGGGGAACTGCAGCCCGGCCCGCGACGAGCGCGACTTGGCCTTGGCGCGCGCCTTCCCGCCCTGCTTCCCGCGCCCGGACATGGCTCAAGGCGTATAGAGCACGAAAAAGTAAAAAAGTTAAAAAGCGAGACACAGGGCCAACAAGCACCAGAGTAAGAAASCAAATGCAGCAAGAGCAGCCACTCTGCGCTTTTATACCCTCCTTYTGCTGTTAGCTTGGACTTCTGATTGGTGGAGACAGGGATTGAAAATTTACCCAATGGGAATGCAGATGAAAAAACCGACCATTAGGAGAGTCTAGCTGGTTTGACGTCACGTACGAAAACTGTCCAATAGAGAAGAACAGTGTTGAGTCATCTTATTTGCATACCGCTCCTATAAATRTGGGGGGCGCCGCTTTTGTGTTTACGTCTTTCCTGCAGTAACCAGGTATCGACAGGCTTGTAAAATGCCGGAACCAGCGAAATCTGCTCCTGCTCCGAAGAAAGGGTCCAAGAAAGCTGTCACCAAGACTCAAAAAAAGGGTGACAAGAAGCGTAGAAAGACTAGGAAAGAGAGCTATTCCATTTATGTGTACAAGGTACTGAAGCAGGTGCACCCTGACACGGGCATCTCGTCCAAGGCCATGGGCATCATGAACTCCTTCGTCAACGACATCTTCGAGCGCATCGCCGGCGAGGCGTCGCGCCTGGCGCACTACAACAAGCGCTCCACCATCACGTCGCGGGAGATCCAGACRGCCGTGCGCCTGCTGCTGCCCGGCGAGCTGGCCAAGCACGCCGTGTCCGAGGGCACCAAGGCKGTCACCAAGTACACCAGCTCYAAGTAGGACGTCTCGGGCCGTCACTATCATCCCAAAGGCTCTTTTAAGAGCCACCCATATATTCAGTAAAAGAGTCGATCACACTGTTTCCTTTCGGTGAGTGGTATTTGTTCGGCACTGTTTTAATTCCTGTGTTGAAACATGCTGTTAAAAGATTAGGGACAAACTTYGATCTGTTTACGTACCCAGAAAGATTTAAGTTGTGTTGTTCTGACAGTTGGTCCCGCAGGTCTATAAAAAGCATGTCTAGCCCCTAATGATTTTTTAAAATTAGCTGTTAAAAGCCTTCTTTCCTCGTTTATTGTAGTCGTTTACAGTGACRGYTTGTTGTCTCCTTTAAATATTAGTTGTCATTTTAAGAGACTTGGCCTTAAGCCAACATAGCTTGTTTACCCGAGAAWTCGGGGATTCGTCTGAAAATTAAAAGGCAATTAGTTTAGTGAAATCTATGTTGTGAAGCACAGCAGATGCGTAAGAGTATAGAGAACAGTATTTCATTAGTCCTAGAGATTTCATAAGGAACTGGTGTACTTTTTTTGTCTCCGACATAGTAGAAGGGTGGCAGAATTAAAAAGCCATTAAGTGACAACACAATAGGAAATTAAGAGTAAAAATAAGAGGCACTAGAGAAAAAAAAAAAGACTGTGAAGGTGAGCGCTTTAACGAACCGCATTTAGCWCAGGATGTGCGGGGAAGGCGTTTTAAGAAAACGCTTATTTCAAGGTGGATTAGTTAAATCCTGGTTGACCCGGGCAGAGGTCGMGAGGAAACTGCTGCGGCGCCGGAGTTAAGACTCCGCGTCAGTTGGCGGCCTGCAGCTGTGTGAGCGCTCCGACCGCCACTTGTCCCGCTCGGCTGGGCCGAGCTGAGGGATAACAGAACAGGAAGCGCGGCCGCTGCCGCGCAGAGAGGGAGGGAGGGAGGGAGGGAGGAGGGAGCTGCGGAGCGGGAAGCGACCGTGACTGTTCCGCACCCCCAACGCGCGGGATTTTCAAACCTCACCCCGTGTCCAATGGCAGCCGTTCCTTGGCGCTGGCCAATCACAGCGCGATGGTGGCCATAAATAGCGGCCTCCGTGGCCGCGTCCCTCACAGAGCGCTTTAGGTCGTGGTCGGGGCTGTTCTGTGGAGATGGCTCGCACGAAGCAGACAGCGCGTAAGTCGACGGGCGGCAAGGCGCCCCGCAAGCAGCTGGCCACCAAGGCGGCCCGCAAGAGCGCGCCGGCCACGGGCGGCGTCAAGAAGCCGCATCGCTACCGGCCCGGCACGGTGGCGCTGCGCGAGATCCGGCGCTACCAGAAGTCCACRGAGCTGCTGATCCGCAAGCTGCCCTTCCAGCGGCTGGTGCGCGAGATCGCGCAGGACTTCAAGACCGACCTGCGCTTCCAGAGCTCGGCCGTCATGGCGCTGCAGGAGGCCAGCGAGGCTTACCTGGTGGGGCTGTTCGAGGACACCAACCTGTGTGCCATCCACGCCAAGCGCGTCACCATCATGCCCAAGGACATCCAGCTGGCSCGCCGCATCCGTGGCGAGCGTGCATAAGCTGTTGGCAAACGGAAATTTCAGACCATGGAAAACCCAAAGGCTCTTTTAAGAGCCACCACAGCATCATTAAAGAGCTGTGAATTACTAGCCATACGTACAAAGTTGTATTTTTGGGGGGGCTTTCTGGTCAGCAAGCTCTACCATTTCAAGTAAGTACCAAACTGTTTAAATTGTGTTTCAAGGGAGCTAGATCCCGATTACTAAACAGTATATTRAATGAGTTTTGCTTCGAGAAACTTATTTAGGCTGATTAACTGCTTTTTACCTGCTTTTTCTCTACGTTTGTTTGGTATTAAAGGAAAATATTCATGTTTTCCTGTTCATAAATGCCTTCTGTGCATCGTTAATTTGCTGGGTTTACTGTGTGTCCTTTCTTTAACATCAATTTTTCAGTTCTTTATTCTCCCTACAGCAATATTCTTTCCCGACCCCATCTGTTTCACTCCTTTGGAGGACGTGGGAACTCGTTTCTGACGGCATAAAAACTTTTCCCACTTTTCTCGGAAAGCCTCTCTATGGGTAGTTTCCTCAGTGCGTTTATCAGTCGTGGTCGTGAGCGATGTCCCGCGGATATTTTCAACCCATCTGAAGCACTACTAGTTTATTCCCAAGATAAGTATCTCTAAAAGGGGCGGGAGTGTGAGAAAGCTGTGTAGTGGAGGCAAGGATATTTTCGCTGAGTCCCTTTTCGAAATGCTCGTTGCTGGTGTCTTCCAGGACCACACACGTTACATCCTTAATGGTTCTGGCTATTCGATATGAATTACTAGAGATTTTTGGTTGTTTCCGTTTTCTCTATCATTGCCGAGTCTCCAGAAAGGATTTGTTGAAGTTACCACAAAGTCTTCTCCAATGAGTATCTGTACTCAAAAACTTACAAAGCTGTAATTATTTTTAAATGGAGACTCTTCCTTATTAGTCGAATTCAGTGATTTTTGGGAATCTACCTGGAAAGCAGATTTCTCCCTGACTGTAAATTCGGTTACATGCCCCCTTGCTCTCCTAGTAAATAAGTCTGTAGTTGCATGAAAAAGGTACATTTCTATAGTTATTTCTGACTTTATGGGGCCTTTTTACATACATGTATATACATATTTTAATACTGTAGGTCGTTATATGAAATTCGAGTAGCCTGCTGTTCCGTTGAATTATTGGAAATAGTGTCCTTTTGGTTTTTTAATGCTACAAATTAGTATCCTTGCCTTTAAGAAGCATTTGGATTGAGTTAGACATAGCAATCACGTAAACTAGGAAATAATGAACCACTGATAAATGCTTAAAGGAAATATTTCTCTTGGAAAGTCTAAAACTACAATACTCTTAGTTTTGTCTTAACTGCTGATAAGCCTCATTTTAAGGATATTCCTTTCTCTGTCAGAAACTTGGACTCTGCAGCAAAATCTGACCAATCAAATGCCTCGACACCATTTTCTTTCCTCTGTTTTTCTCACTTTCAGCCATTTTCTATTACTTAACCTCGGAGGGTTAAAAGGGAGGGGGAAGGCATCGAGAGTAGTGCCTTAGGAATTAAGAAGTCTCCGATGTGATTTGTTCATCCCCCCACATATGTTCATTGACACAGGACTTGTGTTTTTCAGAAAAGATTTTTTTCCAGTTGATTACTGGTGAGATTGCAGAAATGAGTTATAGTGAATSCTAACTCATTTCACTTTACTGAGACAGGCAAAGATATATTTATGTGGACCAGTTTGTATATGTTTACAATAAAAAAAAAATAAAACAAGTAAAATAGTTTTTTCTAATAATTTATATAAAAGGTATTTGATCTCTTACATAAATCAACGGTCAGAATAGTCACATTTCAGCAGACATTTGGGTCACAAATTATATTTTGGGGTTTTTTTGCATGTTCAAGGAATAATTTTTTTTTAGGAGTGGCACAGGGAAACAGGTTTTATTTGCCTTAATCCCTTGTCATTTTCCCTCTAGTCTTTTGAAGATGTCAGGCTGTTTTATTAAATTAAGTATTATTGGGATTCATTCAGAGAGAGTTGCATGCTTTATTGTAAAAAAACCACTAATACTTCATCAGCTAAGAAAGAATCAGATGTGTAATGCTTTTTTTTAAATTATTTTTTCAGAGTACATATAAACCCAAAAATATAATGTCTGAATCTGAAGTAGTTTTGGGGTGTAATACATGGCAAAAGGGTGGCATGTAGACATAGGTGACACAGGGAATCTTGCACGAAGTCCAAGTGAGAATAAAAGTAGAGGTTCCTGTGTTGCCAGCATTTCTGCATAGCTGCATTTTTATGCTTTTTGCAGGAGAGCCTGAGATGAAAGAATGCTGCAAAGTCAAAGCTGGATGTGAGCAAGACCATTGTGTTCAGCAGCTGAGGATCGACTGAAGAGTTGCTGTTGATAATCAAGATGCTTTTGCAAGTGATTTTAGATGGTCAGCAATATGTTTATTTAGGACCCTTCCTGCCTCTTTAGCCATTCTCTATGGATAAACTGGCTCAAATTAAAATCACTGGCTGAAAGAATGTTCTTTTTGTCAGTTCAGTGGGTAAAACAGAGCTGACTTTCTGGTGAAATACTTCATTTCATCCAAATACATAACAGGTCTGATGAAAACATCTCTCCAATATAAAATATTTGAATGAGTCCTCACCTCTTAGTTTCTGAAAAAATCTTAACAGATACATCTATACGAAAAAGTGATGTTCTCATGGATTTAATATTGTAATGTAAATGTTTTGTAAAGGCGTAATACAAAAGTAAACATCTGTAAAATGTTTTCTATGCAAGCCAGTATGCAAAGATAGGTCCTAAACRTGTTTGTTCATTTGCAAATCCCTCGTCTGGGCTTCACAATCTGAATCACCCGTTGGTTACAACCTTCAGTACACAAAAAGTGAAKTCTGAGTTGAGCCAGCCTCAGCTCTTTTAGGAGCCTGACCATCAGGCCAGCTGCATCATTGCCTCTCTTCTCTCCCATTTTCAAGTCATGTTGTAACTTCAAAGGTATAAGAATGTTGGGTATAAGAATGTTTCAGATTGTAGATTATGTGCAAATAACACCACAACAGTATGAACATTCATTAAGATCTCTTATTATATATTAGAAAGCACTTTGTCAGTTATCCTTATTATGGAATTAATTACAGTAACCACAAGAACAGGGTCTGGCCCTATGATCCTGCTGATTGATGCACTTTTCAAAGTGAAGGTTTCCAATTTGTCTTTTATTAGTTCTCAGGTTATAGCCTGATCCGGTGGATCTGGAGAGTGACCATTACATCAAAAATTACCCTTCAGTCCCATATGGGCCACCCAGCACTCAAACCCCAAGCCCCTTACTTGCTTCTGGTCAGTTGTGTCTTGATTTTAATTTTTGTTAAATTGCTTTTAACCRTTGTATACATGGACTTTGATATTACCTCGGTTCTTGGAATTSTTTCCTTGGTCCTTCCTTACCTTTTTCATTCGCTTTGGGCTAGCTGTATTTTTGTAACATCACTTTTCTATCAAAACCTTGTCTTTATTTAAGACCTTATGGCCTAAYGCTACAACCACTCCARCTACTAATGCAAWACCACTTATTACATCATGAGTATATGGAGAAAGAAGTACACAGTTAATGGAATTTCCTGTATAAGACTGAAGCAACACAAGATCAAAAGCTTTGTTCTCAGTGAAACTGTTACAGCAATAAAAGGCTTTAGTAMTAAAAAGACAACAAACTAAAGGAACATATTGCACAAAAAYAGTGCCAACCAMGTTTGAATTAAACCCATTTKCACATAAAAAATATAAGCCTAAGTGGTTGGGGGAATCAGCCCCAATCTGTGATTACTGATTGGGATCAAAGAAACAAATCCTGCTGCTCCAGGGTTGCTGGTATGGCAAAAGACATGTCCCAACCTTGCTCACTCCCCACTGTTTTCATCTGTGCCAYCCATAGTGCCCTGAGCTTCAGTCTAAAGCTGCTTTCATATTTGACTTCAGATTCAAAGAGYCACGAGGTGTAGAGCTCCAAGGACATTGGTGCCACAAAGGACATGCCAAGGGGAATATGACATTTCCTCAACACTGCTCACTCTGCACATTTCTCATCGAGGACACCCATGGTGCCTCAGCCCAAGCCTGCCACCAAGGTAAGCTGTCAGTCACAAAACCCACACCTGCAGGGACTCTGGGGCTGCAAAGAGCATCCCAAGGGGACTGTGGCACTTCTCCAACACTGCTCCCTCTACACCTTTCTCACCTGGGTCACCTGGGGTTCTTTCTCTAGTTTTCATGTATTAACASTGTYCAGTTTCAAATCTGTTTCTGGTCCTTTGTGCTCTTTTACCCTTAAGCACTGTGATATTTTTTTAGTGCATGAATGTGGAGGGTTTTTTATAATGGGCTTGGTCACTTTGTCTTTGCACATCAGCAAAGTCTGTACTCTGCTGTGCTGCATCATCTGTACTCATGTGGAGGTTTAGCGTAGTTGAGATGTTAAAAAACCTGATTATATATCCTCTGTGTCCTTGTTTCTCTCTTTACATTTTATTCTTGCTCATCACAATCTKTTTCTAAAGATCTTCARTTTCATYACATGCTTTATCCATGCCATGAATATTTGATGAGTGTCCCCTTTCTCTCTGCAATGTGGATTTTTATTTTGTATGCTATTTCAAGTACAGCACCAATCCATCAGGATGGACCYGTGAAGCTGTAAAAAATTCTGGTCTGTAAGAGCTTCAACTTGTAATGCCATTACTAGGGAACTAATTGATCTAGAGGGCACATAATATATTTTTCCATAGGCATTCCTTATAATCCTATGGATTTTAGGGCAATATTGTAATGAACATAAGGATATGGAGCCTAATGCATGATGTAATAAGCATAAAAAAAAAAAAAAAAAAAAAAAAAAAAAAAAAAAAAAAAAAAAAAAAAAAAAAAAAAAAAAAGAGAGTGAGATGAGTGTTTCTGCAACACAGCCATTCAGGAGCAGCCAAAAGTCAGATGTAAATCTTTGTGTGGTTTGAATGCAAGTTTGATATGCTGAGGCCTGAACATTTCCCAAATTAATTCAGACCACTTGATATCACATAAAAAGCTGGTAAGATCCCCAGCTCACCAATGCAATAAGTAGCATTTGAGAATTTCTGAATGCTTTCCTGCAGTCAACCAGCTTATTATCAGAATCATTGTCACATTGAGATTGAAAGACTTTTGAGCAACAAACAATTCAAGTTAGTTAAGTCATGAAATACAACATTAAGGAAGGTCTTTTCTTCTCCTTTTTCCTAGATGAAGAATGGCATTGGTTGCTGAAATTGAATGTTTTTTCCTTTATTTGGGCCAATTTTGATCTTCCCATCAGTTCTCCCAGGCAGAGTCATCKGACGGGTTATTGTTGTTTTCTTTTTAGGGAAAAGGAACATGTTTGGAAAAAATTAAGGTTCTTACATGGACATAGACTAGTCCACTTCCAGSAGAGATGTGTGTAAAAGTCTAAGAGTGGTAACTATTCAGATATCAAAGAACATGGAGGAGTTGCCAATATTTGTCACTCTCAGCCTCTTTTGGTATTCTCAGTGTAGGCCAATATAACACAGAAATTTTTCCAGAACAAACATATCACCCCAACTGTAACATGCTTATGTGACTGGAGGGTGACACACACATGCTAATGGATCGATCCCTCCTTTGTAGAAGACTCCAATTTAAATGTAGAAATTACATAGGAGGTTGGCTAGTGGTGCTTATGAGAAGGTGACCAACCAGAAAAGGCGAGGGCCTTGTGTTATGGAAGAACAAAAATSAAATCACTATGACACACCCCTAAATGCTGGAGTCACAATTCAAAACAGGCAGTTTCCTAAAGATGAAGAGCAACAGCARAGTTGTCTGCTGCAAAGGGAAATAGAAAAAGCTAAAGGATAACCAGATATATTAAAACAAGCAAACAAAGGGACAAACCCCAGCAGAACCAACCAAAACCAAAATTGTTCCATTATTTCTGTTTGTTTGGGACAAGTAATTTGGATAAATCTATCTATCTAGCTTCTAAAAAGATATCAAATTCCTTTTTGCACATGTATCTACTACACTTTTGAAGTGGTAAATGAGGGGAGGTAAAGAATGAGATCAATTTCTTACCCTAAAATATGTGAGTCATTGATAAGAAAGGATGCCTGTGKCTGAGGGTATGTTTTTTTCCTTCTCTATTTCAAGGAAAATACACTAAATTATGCCAGTGAAAATGTTTTATAATGCTATGAGTTCTCAGAATATGAAGACTAAATGTCAATTAAAACAGAAACCACACCAAAACAGAATCCCTAAAAAGGTTCTTTGGGAAATTCTAWTTTTCACACTTCTTGAAGATGTATTTATTTCTATGTCAGTATTGCTCTATTAAATGTAAAGACTATTTATTATTACTAAAATCAATAGAAATTTGTGAAAATTTTTGCTGTTAAAAAGTAGAAAAGAAAAATGCCAAGTGGTCCCAAACGTTTTTCTAATTTTAAAATTGTGTTTAATCTCAGTATAAATTAGTTTAATAGTATCTGCGTCAGGAAGTAAAATTTATTAGTTTCTGCAATTCTGCCTTAATCCAATAAATTTAGTAGTACCCTGTACTTTAGTGCTGACAGTTAAAAATACGAGTGGAATTCTTTTTTTAAATGGAATGTGTTTAGCAAGAWCATAACCCAAACACTGGTGTGAGAAACTTGTAGTAGTCTTTACTTTCTATCACAATGTGGACAAAGAACAGGTGTTCTACTTCTCCAGTAGGAAGCATTCCCAGAAAATATTGTTGCAACCAGTGGGTGCTTCCTTACAGTCTGTTCTTTTAGAATTCTTTAGGCTCTCAACGTTCCTAGAATTGGTCAAAAATATGCTAGACAGGCAAAGGTATGACAGACAAATAYGTACATATTTCCATGTGTGTGCACTTATTTTGAGGGAAACGAAAAAAGCCCAATAAGCAAACACAGGACACAGAACTGTTCACGCTTTAATCCTCACGAAGGAAGTTAAAAACAAAAATAAAAGAAAAAAAATTAAAAACCTCATGGCTTGAGCGTTTCCTTCCCCTTCTAGTTTAAACAAAAAGAACTTAGTAACAGAAAGAAGTTGTAGAGTATCAGAAAGAAGTTGTAGATCGAGAGGACAAGGTTGGCAAAAATTATATAAATCTTCCCGAGGAAAATGTCTATGCAGGCAAATGCTAACAGGCAAAAAATTATAAAGGAACTCTTGAAGCGTCCAAAGCAGAAGCAAACTCGGGATGGGCGGGCGGAGAACAGCGGGGGGGCAGGGCGGGAGCGCCGGGCGAGGGCCCACATTGGYCGGATTTTGCCGCAGACCTGTGGGCAGCGGGGAAGGAAGGGGAAGGGGGTACTACAGCCCCCGCTCCTGCTACAGGAGGAGACTCTGAGCTGCCGTAGAACTGTCACCGCGCAGGGGACACGGCCGGGGTGACACGGGACAGCACCAAGGGCAGGCGCGCGCCGGGAGCGGGGGCGGGGCCAGGACCCGCGCGGGAGGGGCGGAGCGCGGCGCGCGATCGCGAGGAAAGCACCGCGGCCGCGTCTCGCGGGAAGCGCGTGCGGAGCCGCGCGGAGCCGGCGGGGGGCGGAGGCTGGGGGCGAGATCCCGCCTTCCGCTGCAGTCCTCAACCAGGTCCGCTCGCGGAGTATAAAGAGACTCTGGGGGATGATGTACAGTGCGTGGTATTGTAGTAAAGCGTGCTGCAATGTCTGGWMGGGGYAAGGGCGGCAAGGGGCTCGGCAAAGGAGGCGCCAAGCGCCACCGCAAGGTGCTGCGCGACAACATCCAGGGCATCACCAAGCCGGCCATCCGCCGCCTGGCTCGGCGCGGCGGCGTCAAGCGCATCTCGGGGCTCATCTACGAGGAGACGCGCGGTGTGCTCAAGGTGTTCCTGGAGAAYGTRATTCGCGACGCYGTCACCTACACCGAGCACGCCAAGAGGAAGACTGTCACGGCCATGGACGTGGTCTACGCTCTCAAGCGCCAGGGACGCACCCTCTACGGCTTCGGTGGCTAAAGCCGTGTTGTAAAACTTACGTTGTTAAAAACATCAAGGCTCTTTTCAGAGCCACCCACAATTTCACAATGAGAGCTGTTTATTGCTACAAAGCTGATAATAAGTGTAAATAGCCCCAACGTTATTCAATGTCGTGTAGAGCAGTGTACCGAAGGTAGTGTACTCCGCTCTTTGCACGTATTACTGCACAACGCTTATGAGAAAAAAAAAAAACGAATGGTATTTGCAATTACAGCTCTGCTAAGAACGTGTGGTGGCTCTTAAAAGAGCCGTTTAGTTTATACTTTCAAATCCTTTTACTTAGAGCTGGTGTACTTGGTGACAGCCTTGGTGCCCTCGGACACGGCGTGCTTGGCCAGCTCGCCGGGCAGCAGCAGGCGCACGGCCGTCTGGATCTCCCGCGACGTGATGGTGGAGCGCTTGTTGTAGTGCGCCAGGCGCGACGCCTCGCCGGCGATGCGCTCGAAGATGTCGTTGACGAAGGAGTTCATGATGCCCATGGCCTTGGACGAGATGCCCGTGTCGGGGTGCACCTGCTTCA